AGCTTTAATTTCATAAAGAAAATTTTTTTTATGTATGTAGAAATGTGTAAGGCCAATCAAATCAATCTCTTTATCTTGTGGGTTTGTTTTCACATTGTATATACACTATCTTCCGTTATTTATTTTTATTATTTACATATTCTTGGCATTCTACATCACAACTTATGCAATTTGTTAAAGTCAATTTTGCACCACTAACTATTAAGTTTTTCCACATCATATGTTTTATTACGCATAAATTTTTACATTACTTTTTAATCCTCCCATAAAAATTCGATTAAAGAGAGATCTTAAGATTGGGGAGGTTAAATTATTCCATTTAATATTTGATTGTTTTCAAACTCAATCAAACAATTTTTACAATTTTTGGAAAAATATGTAAGTTATATATATTTTTTTTAAATAAATGGCTTACCATTAACCATCTTTCGGGTGGGTGCAGCATAATTTTTAAACAATCATTGATGCTCCATTTTTTATGTAGTTTTGTCCTCTTTAGCATTTTTATTATTATTATGATTTTTACCAAATCATTTTAATCAAAATACTTTTAAATTATCTAATAGTGCAAAAATATTTTTATTGATTAAATGAAGGAAAAATATAGCTACATTTGTCTAGATGTTAATAGAAAACAAATTGTTAAACGAAATAATGTTTTGTGCTTGTGGTTTTGTGACTTTTGTAAAGTTTTTTGGAATGGTATTAATGCTTTCTTTAAATCCACTAGACTTATGAGTACTATTATGAAAAGAAGCAGCTCAGTTAAATACATCTTTACTTGAGGAACTACTTCTTATACGGTTAGAAATCATTGTGGAAATAGATTTAGGAATATTTGGAGGATGGTTCAAATTAAGATTGATAAATAACAGATTGTCAACTGGTTTACTGTAAAATAGAGTTGTTAGACAGGTGAAATGTCAATGAAGTTAACAGTTTTTTAAATTAGTTTTTATTGTTATACTTAGCTTGAATTGTTCTTTTTTTTTGAGTTTTTACTTTATTATTTCTGATTGTGGTCAACTAATATTATGAAAACAGCAAAGTCCATTTCTATATAAATCATTGGTACTTAATCCGTATTCTTTGCTGATTGTAAATAAAATAAAAAAGCCTACCAATCCACATAACTCAGCTCCATCAAAGCTTCCCAATGTAACGCCAAAATCGTAATTTCCTGCTTTTTTGATTAGAAACTGATTAGAAATGGGAGAATAAAATTTGTCATATTGTCAAAAACAGTTTTTTGTCATTGATATCATGGAATTATTTTAAAATGTCATTTGTATTATGTCATAGTGCACAAGTGCACAAAGGGTATTATTTCTAATTTTTTTGTTAATATCATCTAGTATAGTTTTAGCGACTTTTTCTAGCAAGCCATAGCAGGGTTGATTAATCAGCACTGAGAGTTATTGGCAAAGTTCTCTTTGTGGTCTTTAAAGAATAATGTAATAAGTGCTATGCTCATAGCAAGACATTCTAATCGGACATTCATATACAATTTTGTTTATTACTTTAGCTTGCATATTAATATTTTTGTATTTTGTAATATCAGAGTTTTAGTAATATTATTGGTATGATTTCATAAAGATTTTAATTTTCATCTGAAAAATGAACATATTTTACAAAGATTTTACCTTTAAAATCAAGAATGAACATATTTTACAAAGATTGTAAACATAGTTGGACCTGCTCTTTCAGCCAAACTTCAACCTTTGTCATATCGTTGTAATGTTGCTTCTCTATCTCTTTTCTATAAATACTATAATGAGCACTGCTCTAAAGAACTAGGATCTCTTGTGTTATCTAATAAAATTCATTCTCGTGTAACTCGTCATTCAATTAAGTCTCATCTTTTTTCTGTTACTGTTCCTAAGTGCTCCAAAAACTCTTATTTGTCTAATTTTTTTCCTCAAACATCAGTTTTTTGGAATTCACTTCCTTCATCTTGCTTTCCTGTTTCATATAGTTTGCAATTCTTTAAGTCGGCTGTCAATCGTTATCTTGCTCTTCAATCTGCAACTTTTCTCTTCCAGTAACTTCCAACACTAATTAGTGGTTGCTTGCAGCCTTGTTGGAAGCGAAGATATAAAAAAAAAAATAAAAAAAATTGTTGATATTATTATTTAACTGCTTTTGAAATTTGTTTCGGATAAAAGTGATATTTTATATTAGTAAAATATACTAGTAAAAATATATTAGTAAAAGTGATATTTTAAAATATATTCAACAAGTCATAGTCAAAACTTACAAGATCTGCTGCGGTGGACATTTTCATGTTTTAAGATCAAATCAACAAACAAAACCTTCTTTAGAACTTTTATCACACATCAAAGATGTGTGATAAAAGTTTAGTACTCAACAAGAAGGAGCAATAATATTGTAGTAACTATATAAATATTTCTCAGTAAATAGTGCTCAATACCAAAGTAGAGCAATACATAGTAAAATAAAAAATAGTTATAGTACTCAATTTATTTCAAACATAACTTGGAGTTTCAAGCAAACATTTTTAAAACGTTTTTAGAACCTTTTTATAATCACTTAACAAAGGCTCATCAGAAAAAGTTTTTCTGATGAGTCTTTGTTAAGTGATTTTCTACTATATATATAAATATATATATATATATATATATATATATATATATATATATATATATATATATATGTTTATATATATGTATATACATATATATATATATATATATATATATATATATATATATATATATATATATATATATATATATATATATATATATATATCGTTTTATGTAGTGTTGTATTAAAATAATACACATCTCTTGTTTGTTGAAAAGTGCTCAATAATTAAGAAATTTATTTTGATTATATATAAATTTCATAATAGAGCGGTTTATAATTAAAAACGAAAAAAGAAAAAACTTTTGTTATGGAACTTTAAGTTTCATGCCTAACGGCAATCATCAGCCATATATTATAAAATTTGAAATAGACGTTAAAATTACAGTTAAAATTATGGTGGCATGAGTTCTAATGACTCCATGGAAACAAAAGTTTAAAAGTTTTAAGAGTATTACATGGCAAAAAAGTGACGTAAACCAATCAGTATCAATCTGTGGTATCATAGGAGGAAATAAGAAATTTATTTTTGTGCCTACACTTCGAGATTATTTTATTCCTTGTGTTAAGTAGGTTTTCAGCTTTATACATTAAAATTTGAAACTTCTCATTCAAACAGAGGCTGCAAACTCTTGATGTTGGGTTGTATGGTTTGCAATGTTTAACAATCTTCCATCTGACAAAGGGTGTAAAGTTTTTTGCTTTTAATTTCCATATTTCTTTAGATAACTCAGTATCATTTTTATATCTAATTGAGTTAAAAGATTTGAGGTGGTTTGCGTATCGAACTTTAAAAGATGTCTCCCTGAGTCCAAAATACACTTTTTCTTTGTATTTCGGATTGTTTGAACAAACGGTGGCTTCATAAACAATGTTGTTTGAAAGACAATGGTTGCTCATCGGACATTTGGATTTATCAGTGCAGTTGCATGTCTTTTCATTAACTTTTGCTTCCTCATGTAACGTGTTTTTATTGTGAGAGTTGATAATGGAATTTATGTTAAGCATGCATGAATAACTTATTTTGGTTGTGTTTCTATTAAATATTTTATGGAGTCTGTGATTAACTGGAAAGTGGTGGTCGATGAGGTTTAAAAAATATTTGCCTATTTTTGTTACAACATTTGCACTGAAAGGAGGATTATACCAAATTATTTTACGTTTATGATTGCTGTTTGAAGATTTTATACTTGGATGGTATGCAAGTTCACAAGTGTATCCAGATTTCTTCAGGGCTTCTTGATAAGGAGAAATACTTTCTTTAAAAATCGATTCACTTGACGATGCTACTGATAATCTTAACTCAATGGTTTTAGGAATACTTTTTATTACACTCGGTGGGTGATTAGAACTAGTATGTATGTAATTAAGTATATTGTCTGGTTTGCGGTAGGGTTGAAAAGAACCATCATTTAGGTTTAGCGTTAAATCCAGATAGTTAACTATCTTCAAATTACATTTAATAGAGATTAAAAGATTTGTACAAAAAAAAATTTTATTTTCTCCATTTCCTGACCCCTTTTGTTTCTAACTATAGCTAATCTATCATCTCAATATATACCAAAATTACTTTTATCATAAAACTGCCAGATTTGATGCAAAATTAAAATACCAACTAATTTGCAAATCTCCGCGCCATCAAAGGCCCCCATAGTGACATCGAATAACCCTCCCTTTTTCTTAATCCAAGCAGTTCCATTGGTAAATAATAATAATTTTCTTGCATGGTGTATAAAACCTTTTTACTCACTATTTATTATTAAATGTTGCTCTGCAAAGGATAACGCATTTTTCAGCAGGTTTTCAGTATTCGATGGATAAAAACCATTAATATCAAAGACTAAAAACTAGTCTATTTTAAATTTTGTAATATGATTGCCGATTGTAATATGATTGCTGATTGCTGATGATTGCCATTAGGCATGAAACTTAAAGTTCCATAACAAAAGTTTTTTCTTTTTTTCGTTTTAAATTATAAACTGCTGTATTATGAAAATTATGTATAATCAAAATTATTGAGCACTTTTCATATATATATATATATATATATATATATATATATATATATATATATATATATATATATATATATATATATATATATATATATATATATATATATATATATATATATATATATATATATATATATATATATATATATATATATATATATATATATATATATATATATATATATATATATATATATATATATATATATATATATATATATATATATATATATATATATATATTTATATATATAGCTGTTATATACTAGTATTAATATATAGCTGTTATATACTAGTATTAATATTTGTCAGAAAATTTTTATGAAATATTATACACTATTAAGGTTAATTAAATAATATATTATCTTTGCTTTTTAGACAATGGAATGCAGCCCATTTTGGTTTCAGGTAATTAAATTGTTTAATCTTTAAGAAATATTGATTAAGAATATTTTCATGCTTATTGATTTTGTCAAAAACATTATATATTTAAAGTATTAATAAAGTAAGAAAAATGATAACAAAGTGCAAATGTCATTTATATATATATTTTTTAAATAATTTGTATTAACTTCTAATTTTAATGTTCAGCCTTTTTGTTTTTAATATTTGAATTTTTAAATTACTGTTAATGTAAATTTAAACAAATTGTATAACTAAATTATATACATATTACCACAAGAAAAATTGAAACAACTGATTTTTTAAATTTATTTTTGTCATTAATTTTTATTTTTAAAATTGTTAAAAACATTAAGCATTATCAAAAATATATCATTCTAATCACTCCGGCACTCCATTTCTATATTTATTTTAAAGTTAAATTCTATATTCATGTTGAACCTCGTATATTACTGTTACAACCAAAAATAATCTTAAACTCTCTTTAATACTCTCTTTACTATTTACCAAAAGAGTCCCTTATAGAATGAAGTTCTATAATTAAAAATGATTAAATGAAGTAAATATAAAATATTTACTACATTTAATCAGAAGTCTCTCAGTGATGCTGATTCCATCAACAGCTGTAAAATATCAGAGTACTAACAGTACCATATTGTTCATGGATGGTGTTTCAGTTTGTACTTTTGGTGTGTATTGTTGAAGCCACATTGGAGCCCTTTGTTACGTCAGGGTTTAATAATAGTAATGAGGCAACTGCTTGGGCTATTAAATAATACTGAGTACTATCTGTGCTTTGAGACAAGTTCCTTAACAAATTTAAAAATGACTGAAGTACCAAAATATATAAAACTCCAAAAACTATCGCCATCAATTCTCTAAATCTATTATTCACTAATACTTTAATTTTTTGATATTTGATTCTTTAATTTTTAGGGAAATGGACTTAAAGAACTTCATTTTATATAGTAAGGGCAATAAGTTTAAATAGTATAATAGATATCAGCTTGAAACTTTCACGAAATTGTCTATGAACTAAAATAATTCAAAATAAATAACAATTGTTTTGGTGCTTGGCATTGAGGGTTGCCCTATGGGGCAACCACCTAGTTTAAACCCCTTCATTTTATATAATGGGGGCAATAATTTTTAATAGGGCACCAAAAAGAAATTTGGACACTAGCTTTGAACTTTCAGGAAATTATCTATGAACTAAAAGAATTCAAAAAAAAAAAGACCTCCATTTACTCGCAAAACTCTGTGCAGCTTAACCCTGAATATTTGCATTTGCATTGTGTTCCGCAACCTTTTTTGCATCCATATTTTATCAATTCAATGCATGATTTTGATGCTTTGGGTAGAGTCATCTATAAAGGTATCATTGCATTATTTATTTTCCTCCAACCCCATTTAGTAACGTCAGGTAAAATCTGTTGTGGCACCAAGGATTGTCCTCTTATGATACTAAATAAAAATTTCAATGTAAATATATTTTTTTAATAAGATTTATTTGAATTGTTTTGATAACTTTATTCAAACACTAAAAAAAATACCTTCCTTGAAACACAGCACTTTTCAAATGCTGAAAGAGTGCATCTTTTGTTGGTGGTAACCACTTGCTCTGTCGTGACTTTTTTAGTGAACAGCATTCTTTGGCATTTGGCGAGATCAGTTGTAAAACTTGTCCTATCATAAAGTATAATAACGTTTTGCTCAAACTGCAGCAGTGCTTCAGATGAAATAACTCTAGTATTTGGAGATACCAAGCTAAATAATAATAAACAAACATATACGCTAAAATTGTACAAAACAGCAGTCTATAAGAAAACATTTTTAAAAGTTAAGCAGCTAGCAAGCATAAAATTATAGCCTTTTTATAACTATATAAACATAAGTTACCAGCAAAATGCTTGTATAATTTTATCATTTCGATTATTCTAGAGATTGCAAGCATGTTTTTTCCCCCGTCCTGCAAATGAAGACACAGTATTACAACCAGTAAATGCAAACCACGATGACACAGCTTGTGCTTTTTCACCTATCTTTTGAACATAGTAGTGTATGGGAAGCCATCATTTGAGTTTTCCAATTCCAAATTCTATTCAAAGTTGGTTAATACCTGTTAATTGTTTAAAAACAGAAATTGCGATTGCAACAATATCGGTGTCAACTATTTGAATACAGACAACTTGGTGCCCACTGTCAACATTTTTTTTAATGTGTAGCAAAATCCAAGTGTCAGCTTCCTTGTGGTTACAAGGTGAGGTTTTTCATTAAAATCTTTGGAATTGGATATAACAGTTTCATCAAACATTGCTATTAAAAGTCATTTATCGGTACTTGTACAGAGCTTGTTGCAAGCATTTTAAACAACTCATTTTTGTTTTCATTCAATCATAAGAATTGAAAAACAATTCTTACGATTACCAATTTTACCAAATAGGAGTTGAATCACAAACACATACTCTCACTCCGTTACCACGACTGTCCCTGGTCTGAGTTTTTAAACTAAAGTTCTTTGTATTTCTTTATGTTTTGCTGATGATATACTGATTGTTATTTTTCGGAATTCAATTTCTGAATACTCCTTGAATGTCTTCGAACTTACTGGATGAAATATATGAACAATTGCTCCTCCATCTAAGACATTTGCAGTGATACCTTCAGGAGAATTCAAAGAATGTGCCGAGTATTCTTCAAGGCATTTAAGATAATCCGATTTATTAGTTTTATGGAGTTTTCCATATTCAGATATTGCTGGTGAATAAGCATGGTTTTCATGTCGAAAAAAATCATCTAAATCTTCGTCTTTATGTTGAGATGCCACATAAAGTGATGCAAACATTTTGCATTCTTCTTTGAGTATTACTGTTTTTAAACTTCCTTTTTGAGTGGCAATGATTTTTTTTTTCTAAACAGAATTATGTTATTTTTGGGTATTTATATATTAAATCCCTTGTTAAACAATTCTGAATATAACATTTGGATGACTCAACCCCCATTTGCTTAGCTTTTTTTTACGGATGCCCTAGATTCTGTATCAAGTAATGTCTTAGTTGATAATTTTATGAGAATGTCTTCTTTTACTAAAGACAGGTTTCCTAAATCTTTAATAACTCCAATAAATTCCAATACATGTTCATTATAATTCTTTTCAAAGGCAGGTGTATCTTTGTGATGATTTTTCCTATCATCATCTTTTTCTCTAAATCTTTCTAGAAACTCAGCAAGTAGTGGTTCATACACCATCCACTTCATCAAAAAACTTGGGTTATCTAAAACGCCAATTGAGCTACTGTCTCCTTTTATAATCCTAATGTTTTGTTTATGGGCTTAATCTGTAGCCATAGATGAAAAAGGGTGTCTTGTCTTTTGAAACGTGAAGAAACTTTTGCAGAACTCAATGTAAACCTCAGGGTGTCTATGTGGGAGCATCACAATGTCAGAAAGAGAAATTGGAAGCTATCTAGAGTAGTGCGTGTGATCTAAAGCAAACATCCAAAGAATAATTTGTTCCAAGGCTCCCTTTTAACCAATCTCTAACAAAAACTTAATGGTTGTAAAGACCTGGTTGGTCAGCAGTTATTATGGATACTTGATCTGGATTGATTTTTGCTAAAACTTTTTTAACTACATTAAAAGTTTTTTACCATTTATGTTGAGTTGATAGGTTCATTGATAAGTGGCAATAAAACAGAAGTATTTTTTGTTTTCTGTTTATCTTTTACTGTATTTGAATGAAATGCTGCCCAATATATTTCGGGTGTTTCTTTCCCTTCCAATTTTTTCTGTAAAACTTTAACTACAGCTGTCAACCATTCTCTTGAGTCACTTAAAGCAACATAGTTTTCAAATTGGTGGAAATTAATTGTTTGTAAAGGATATTCTACAGAATGGTCTTCAGTAGGCTTTATTGTTGTGTAATATGATGATAACTTCAAAATATTTTTAGTCACTTTTTCCGAAAAATCATAATCAAACTTCTTTGCAACTAATTCCACTTCAGGATGTTGAAATATGGATATTGATGTTCCATGAAAAGATTTGGTAGCTGTACTCAAAGATGGATTGAGATCAATGTTATCAATTGCTACAATTGTAAAAACATTTTTGATAAGTAAAGAAGGACATACCAAGTTATTATAATTGTATAGTTTACATAGTTGATTGGTAAGTGTGGTTTTAATGGCATCAACTCTTATTTGGGGTACATTAACTCGAAACTTTGCTAAATTTTGTGGTAGTGGTGTAGTGGTAGAGCGCTCGCTTCATAAGCGAGAGGTTCTGAGTTCAATCCCCGCCATGTCCCTGGTAGAACTGCGCTTAACTCGTTTCTCTGTGCAGCAACCTTGTTCCTCAACCTCTAGAGTTGAGAGAGGGTTATATAACCACAAATAAGTAGCCTCCTCATCTGTATTGGCCTTCTCGGCCTTGAGGAGGTGAATTAACAAAAAAAAATTATTTACAATACTTTTTTTTCTTATTTTGGAATAGATATTCAAACCAGCATATAAAGTAAAAGGTCGATTTCTATCTGGTTTATGACATATATATTTTCCTTCTTGTTTGGTTGGAACTTTTAAACAACTGTGAAATATGAGTTAAGAAATAGTTGTTGTAACTTTACTATTTGCTGAATTATTGATAACTTCTTTTATATTATGTCCATATAACAACATTCGAGCAAAGCTTTTTAATATGTTTGGGATTAGGTCACTATTTAAACCATATGTAAATGTTGTAATGTTATCAGTACTTATAACTTTAAAAATTCGCTCTTCCTTGCTTGTTAAATAGCAAGCATCAAATTAGCAGTTCTCGTCTGCTTTAATGTCAGTAAAACTTCTCTACGTTTTTTAAATTCTCGATGTAAACGATGTTGTTTTCACTTTTCATTATTGGTTGGTCTTTTTGTAATGAACGCAAGCGGTTGTATAACTGACTAAGACAAGCTTTATGATAATGAGCCTCAGTAGCTACAATATCACCTTCATTCAGCTTTGCAAGTAACTTTGTATCTGATAGAAGTTCAGCTCAGTTGCAAACCTTTTTATCTAGTTCAAGACTCATCACTTCACTTAGATTTTTATTATCTACCTTCTCACACAAGAAACAATTTTCTTGATAGTTCTTAGCCTGAAATTTTGACCTTGTACTATGGCTTGGGGTTGGTAGTTCTTCTGTAATGTTTAATGTCTTTCTTTGTTTAGATGCTCTCTGGTAGTGATAGTTATAAAAATTTGTATAAAATTTTTTGCAATATACCATATTGTTATCGCAAAGCTGTTGCAGAAAATTTTTACATTGTTGTCTGGAAGTTAAATCAACAGTCAAACTACCTGTATAAAATAAATCTCAATTTTCAGCAAAAGATTACTTACTAGACTCTTTGAGATAAATAATATAAAGAAGTAATTTTGAGTGACAGAATTAAACTTTGCTTTGATACTTAAGAAAGTATGACAGTAGAACATGATTATACCTGATAAAAAAATATTATCCTCTATCTGATAAATTCAAGTAACTTATCCTCTGTCAAAAATGAATGTCAAAAAGGTGAATTAAAAACTAACATATTGCTATATAATCAAACCTTTTCCTTTGAACTTTTCTAGATTACTAAGAATTGTTTTATATCCAGTGTCTCTTTGTAGGTTTTTAGATTTAGAAGAATTAATAATGTTGCGATTATTTGATGATTCCTTTTGACATATGAAGCAATTATCCCACTCAGTTACATTAGTTGTTGTTGTTGGCAATTCATACCCTGTTGCAGCATTTACAAATTTAAAACTCTTCTGAGACATTTGATATTAACTTCTATGGGTTAATTTTGTTAAATGATAATATTAATTATTATAGGTCTCACTTATTTTACATAAATATGGTAAAATAACATTAAAAACCATCTGGAAATAGTTAGCTTAATATTGACTTATTGTAGTCGATAAATGCTAATAAATAGTTAAACATTAAAAACATTTAAATCACAAATGTATCAATTTATTTGGTAAACTATAATACCTCTGGAAATACTAAAAAACATAATGCATGACATTTGTATTTATGAAAGTTATTTATTATAAAAGATATATTTACAAAAAACAAACATATCTTCGTTTTTTTTATTTACATACATTGTTTGCACTTACCTAAATAAATAAATCAACTCTATTTATTACAAAACTTTTACAATATGACCATGCACATTGTTTCTGCCTATATTTCAAGCCGATTTTGCACTAAAAATGAATTATTTAAGTACACTTCTCTAAAAATAGAAAACTCTATGACAAAAACTAAGACATCTACAAGTGGGGTCTTTTTCTAAATCAATTTGTATAGTTATTAAGAACAATTTTGCCAAGTTTCATATTGGTATCACGTTTTGAACTATTTTGCTAAATATATAAGTTTATAGCCCCCACAAAGAATTCACCCATTTCCATTAGAAAACTAGGTTTGAATCCACAAATTATTCTTTTATGTGTTTTCATTTAGCACCACTTCACTATATTGCCTTTCATTTTGTTCTACATTGCTCTTCCTCTCAAGACTGCATTCTTTTCCATTTTATTTGACCAAAGTGTCTTTGATGCTCATCAGACTAAATAGCTTGGATCTAGTAGAAATCTTTTATCTTCCTGCTGAAATAAAATGTGCTTATGTAACTTCTTGGATTGCATGGAATCTTTTATTCCCTCTTGATGATTCCAAGTCAAGCTTTACTCTTCTCCATAGTTGTCCTTGCATTGTGCTGCTTTTGATATTTCCATTCAAAAACTATACTTCCATATCTACCATCAAAACGATTCTTCAAAAAACTGACGTCCATTTACTATTGCTAGAAACCTGTTGTAAAAAAGTATTGTCTAATGTCTAAGCCCGCTATTCTAAGGTCACAAAATCTTGTATTTTATCTCAAAAATTAGGCTCTTGTAACTTCTGGAGAATCTTTAACAGTATCTATAATAATGGCAAATCTGTTGTTCCACCTCTGTCTTCATCTCTTGTTACCATTATGATGGTTCTGGAAAAACTTAATATTTTTTTAGTTCTAACTCAATTTGATCAATCTAACTCAAACTAATTAATTAGCAAATATGCAATTCAAACCTTATAAAGCTGAAAAAACCAACTATTACACATGGATGAATATTGCAAAAAACAATGCTAAAATTTCATAAAAAGAAAAAAATATTTTTGCCATACAAATTAGTAAAATAGTAAAAAAAATCAATTTCATTAAAACTTTTTAACACTACTTTTTCAAAATAATTAGATCTTTTAATTCATGAACGAAAATTCAAAACGCTGTTCACTTTGGCATAAAATTTAAAATACTTCCAATATACTTAGTTGCAATTTATGACAACGAAATATTAAAAGGCATCATTATCAAAATATCACATATCTTATTTTGAATTCCATCTTCCAAATTGAAAAAATGTTTGTTTTTAAATTTCTTTTCTTTTTCTTTTTTTTTGAATCACTGGAATGGAAACGCCCAAAAGAAAAACACTCACATGAATGAAAATTCAAAGTATTGCAAAAAAGAGCACTTTTTCAATTTAAATTTTTTTTAAAAGCTGATAATAGAACCGCCTTAATGTTTTTTTTAACAGACAGATTTCTTATATTATATTAAAAATAATGATACATAATTAGATAATAGCAATTATTCATTCCAATGAGTAAATATATATATATATATATATATATATATATATATATATATATATATATATATATATATATATATATATATATATACCTATATCAAACTAATAAGTGAAGTGTTACAGATTTTATTACTCAAGAAACAGAAAGGCTATAGTAAGTACATAATTCTACAACACATAATGCTAGTTTAAATGTAAAAAGATAATTGTAAATAATTTTCATTTAGACTATATTTACAATCGAGAAGAATTTAGTCCAATGCAAGGTTTATTACTTAATACACTCAATGTTTTGATGAAGGTGTATACTGTGTCTTTTAAAATTAAACCAACAAACTACACTAAAGGTTTAAAAAATATTCTTCATTTAACTTTGGGGAATGATTTTGGTAGGTATGGTGATAGAAATCCAGGTGTTTGGTTTCATGAAGATGGTTCTGGAAAACTTGTTATTTTTGCTGCAGTGAGTGGTAATGCTAGCTACTATGTTGAAACTCCTCCTCTTAAATTAAACCAATGGTCTTCTGTTAAAATACATCAAAGTTTGATAAAAAACAAATATTGGTTTTTTGTTAATCTAAATGGAGTGTATATTCATAGAGTGGAAAATTCTGATGCCAGAGATTTCAAAAACATGAAAGTATATGCCTCTGATTATTGGTATGATGCTCAAAATGGTTCAATTACTGACTTACTTATCATCAATGGAAAAACTGGTAAGTGTTCAAAGTTTTTTGAATTTTATTTATAATATTTTTTCAAAATTTAAAAAACATTTTATAAATGTGTGAGTGTTGTGTGTGCAAATGTGTGCATCAGTTAATAAAGATAAAAAATTTTTTTTTGATGTTATTAGAATTATTTATATACTGAAACATCAATTATATATGAATTTTTTATAAAATGATTTTCTGAATTGTTTAGTTAGAGACAAAGAACTGGAAAGTAGTCTTTTCTAAAACAGAAAAAAAAAGTTGGTTAAAATCTACTTAAAATTACTTAAAAACAGTAATTATGAAAAATCAAAAGAAATATAATAGTGTTAACTTTTCTGTCTTAAAACAGAAACAAAAAACAGTTTCTGTCATTTGATGATTTAAACAAATCTCAATAAAGTTCAAATAGGTATGTAATGATAGTAATTTAAAAATGGTAGATCCTGCAACAGTTTTTTCTGTATCAAAATGTTCCATTAGTTGTTGTTGCCTTGCTGTTGCTGTTTCTTTGACAATTTTATAATGTGTAATTGTGATTATATATTGGCGATTCAATATCTTCTTCATAAATCTTTTTCATAATTCTTTTTAAGATTTTTCGAATAAAAAGTATTTTGTGACAGTCATCAACTAAATCTTTTCCAAATCCACACGATTTTATTTTGTTAATATAGTGTTATTAATTAGACATATAAATTATCCAAGTAAATGTTTGACATTCGTAAAATATAAAGTTATTTTTTTCAAATCCTTTAATTTTCAAGTTGGCAGAGTTTTCAAAATGCTTTTTTTTAAACGACGTCACTCTTTAAGTCATCTCCGAGTTTTCATCTTTTATCAATTATTGATCTACTCGTGAAATAGAAAATAGAAAATTTTCTGCATATGCAAAATATTTTTTTTAATGTTTTCACTCTAAGAAATCAGAAAACCCTAGAGTTTTCTCAAAAAGGTATTCTCAAAAAAGTAATTTTTGACTGAATAAAAATCTGATTAGTCAAATTGCAGATAAATAAATTTCAAGTCAAGAAAATTAGCTGAATAAAATCTATTAATTTAATATATACACATCAGATTTTATGCATAGAAATAAGAAAATACTATTTGCAGGGATAGTGAACATTGATGGACATATAAAAATACTTAACATTATTACTAGGAATAGTTAGAATGTTAAGTATTTTTAAGGAATAATTGATTGAATTTTAGTTATTTTTAAAGATTAATCTTCAAGTCTAGAAAAAAGTTGTCAAATAATATGATCTTTAAGAAGTTTAAAAATAACTGAATTGATATCTATAAATCAATGGGTACATGTAAACATAATTTAAAAGAAATATTTTTGATATATTAGAAAGAAGAATATTATATATATTCCAAAGCTGTACTCAGTTATCAATTCTTTTAGATTTTTTTTTTTAATTTTTCTAGATAGAGATTACAAAAAATATATTGATGCAAGTGTTGACATTAAAATGTAGAACTATAAACTAAATCAAGAGATATATACTAATTGAAAATTTGAAAGTCCTAGGTTACATTTACATGAACACATGAACAAAAGAATAATAAAAAAACTATAGCAAATTTATTTTTTGCTCCTCTATACAACCTGGTTTTACAAAATTACCTGCATTATTGAAAGTTTTTATCCTAGACATTAATACAAACTGGCAGATAATTAAGTACCAACAGTATAAAAAAACTAATGAATTTTTTAAAGGCATTATACTCCTTGAACTTAATAAAATCATTCTATGGAAATGGGTTCCAAAGAATCCCACTCAAAGAACCACATTTTACAAAGAAGAACACTCTTATTCAAATAAAACTCTGATTCAGCTGACTTTTGTTGATATAATTAGTTTCACTACTCTGTGTGGTTAAGGCAAAACATTATAGCGTCTGTATGATATTTTGTATGATATTTCCGTTAAATGGTCATGTCTGTGAATTATGAAAAGACAAAAAAAAATAAAAATGATAAATTTTGCGGTAACATAAAATATAAATGTTTATAGCAAAAAAACTCAGGACGAAGATTCTTTTTTATAAAATTTATTTTTTTAAATTCCAATTGCTTGGCCAAATTTGAATAAGATTTTAAATAAATACGTTTTTTAGGTAAAATGAACGTCATAGTTTAATAATATGATCTGTTCTGATCCTTAATTGGTAATTTTTTTAATTATAAGCTCTTTCTTGGTCGGAACTCTAGTATTTTTTGTGAAAATTGGTAGAAACAGTGTGTTTTGACAACTATATACAGTTAATATATTTCTATTAGAACTAGGATCTATAGTAGGTTTAGGCACTTTCTCAGAAGATTTAAACTCAATTCATGTTAACACTGATGAGCAAAAGTGATCTAAAAACTCCAAAATGGTGTTCTTTAGATTCGCTATTAGGGATTTTGAAAATTATATATAAAAAAAGAAAAGCTTCTTTAAGTATTAAAAAAATCTGAAGCAAAAAAAGTTATATCCTCCAAAGTTCTTGTTTGGACATAATACCATGCTAATTCCAAAAAAAAAGAATTCAAATATTTTTTAAAACATGTTAACAACACCGAGTAAGAAAATTAAAGATCAATTTTTATCAAATTATGACAAGTCATTACTGTTTAAAACTATTTGGTTTTAATTGAAAAACAGCAAAACATTGTAAATTAAATACTCATGAGTAGCTTTCATCTAGTTAAATTTTTAGAAGATAGTGTTAAAATATGATGATCTTGGTTATATAGGTTGATCTTTTTCGTTTTTATTTCGAGTTTTGTTGACTAGAAGAAGATTCGGAACTGAAACAGTTTTAGATTTTCAAAACTTAAACAAACAATAATGCACTTTTAATTATTTTATAGCTGTTTAAACTTATGGTATTAAAATTAATTTGTAATTTAAAGTAATCAGTGTCAGGTCAGGAGTCAGTGTCAGGTCAGGAGTATGGTCTTTATGATCATCCTGATACTGGTAACATGTAACCCAGTGCAACCTGTTCCATGTTCTGCTGCCTTGCAGGATTTGCTATCTAAGCAAAGGCTGGAAGGAGTGTTCTTCCTGTCATCAGTACTATCTTATATCAGTCATGCCTATAGTATTTTTTTTTTTTTTTCCCCATATAGTTGGAGGTGCCTTAGTTACTGTATTAGCTCACCTGTAATCTACGTTATATGTATGTTTGTGTTCTGTCTGAACCTCTGGCGTGGTGTTCGCTCACCCGTAAGTTACTTTATGTTCTTTATGTATGTCTGTGTTCTGTCTGAACCTCTGGCGCGGTGTTCGCTCACCCGTAAGTTACTTTATGTTTATGTTTATGTTTTTTATGTTTTTTTATGTATGTTTGTGTTCTGTCTGAACCTCTGTCGCGGTGTTCGCTCACCCGTAAGTTACTTTATGTTTTTTATATATGTTTATGTTCTGTCTGAACCTCTGGCGCAGTGTTGACTCACCCGTAGGTTGATTTATGTTTGTTTGTGTTCTGTTTATACTCTAATGCAGCGTGAACTCAGTAACTAACTACTTACTCCAACTACAAAACGTACACTCACCTTAGACTCCTGTATTTTGTTAGATGCAGTGTTTTTCCTAATGCACTTCCAAAATGTCATGCCTGGTTTTCTCAAAGTACTGTTGCAGGAAGTAGCTCCTTTTAACTACTCCAGGTCAGGTCAGGATAATCGAGATCAATCTTGCTACTGGTATCACGTAACCCAGTACCACCTGCCACAAGCCCTGCTGCCTTGCAGAGTGTGCTCTTCTTATGCAAAGGCTAGGAGAAATAAACTCCGACTAAAAATTCCCCTGCTTTGGGGCTCTTGGTTGAGTAAAGGCTAGAGATGGTGTCTCGAAAAAAACACTCATCTTGGGCAGATGTTAACTGCATCTAGCTAAACATCCCCTGCCTTGGGGCTCTTGGTTGAGTAAAGGCTAGAGATGGTGTCTCGATAAAAATACTCATCTTGGGCAGATGTTAACTGCATCCTGCTACTGTCTTGTAGAAGGCCTCCTAGGCAAAGACTTTAGGGGTAAGCAGAAAAATTCTGCTAACCAGCCTCAAACCCCTTCTTCATCTCTTAGGCTGGCGTAGATGTAACCTGTGTTACATTGTTTCCTGCCTAGGATGATGAATGCTGGATCTCCTTGACTCTACTCATAGAACTTTGCTTATGCCTCTTTGATAATGGCTATGCAATTCTTCCTGTTATCTCCATATGAGGGTACAGCTCTAAAACTCAGTTTAATGGTTCTGAGGCCGGCTGGTAGTAAGGTTTCCCGAACTCTGTGGTAGCTCTCAGAGAGGCTGATTCCATCAACAGCTGCAAAATATCAGAGTATTAACAGTGCCATGTTGCGTATGGTGTCCCTGTTAATGCTTTTGGTGTGCATTGTCAAGGCCACATAAGGAGCCCTATGTCACAGCTTAGGGTTAATTAACAGGAATGAGACTGCATAGCTCATTGATTAGGAGGCTGTGCTCTATCTATGAATGAGTCAAGTTCTCATTAAACTCAAATCATGACCAAAGTAACCAAAAATTTAAAACCTAAAAACCCATCCCCACCACCTAAATATTTTAATATATATTTTACAAGTATTCGCAGTCTACAAAGCAACTTTCCATCAGTTGAGTCTTACCTCCTGCAAAATTCACCAGACTTGCTTGCACTCAGTGAAACAAATTCAAGTTCTGCAATTCCTTCTTCAGATGTCAGTGTTGAAGGGTACTATCCTTTGATTCGTAAAGACTCCAATAGTCACATGCTAGGTTTAGGGGTATACATACGCATTAATTCCCCTATTTGTCGTGAAATCAGGTTCGAATCCTTTGACCATTCTTTTATGTGCTTTCGCCTAGCACCTCTTCCCTCTTTCACCTTTCTCTTTGTTCTTTATCGTTCTCTTTCTTCCCATGATTGCACTCTTTTAGATGTTATCTCTGATCAAATTGACCATGCCCTCTCTCTTTACCCCTCTGCCAATATTGTTGTTGTTGGTGATTTTAATGCCCATCACACTGAATGGCTTGGCTCTAACACCACTGATCCTGCTGGCACTAAAGCCTTTAACTTCTGCGTTTCTCAATCTCTTACTCAGATAGTTAACTTTGTGACTCGTTTTCCTGACAACCCTAATCATTTACATTCACTCCTTGACTTATGTCTTGTCTCTGACCCTAGCTATGTTCAGTTTCTCCCTTTTCTCCCTTAGGTGATTCTGACCATGCAATGATCTCTATAAATCTTTCTTCTCATACTTTTTTTTTGGGCTCACCTTATCATCGCACCACCTACTACTACCCTAAAGCTGATTGGGATTCCTTTTGTGATTTTTTTCGTGATGGTCCTTGGGCTGATGTTTTTTTTCTCTCAGCTGACAAATGCGCCTCCTACGTAACCTCCTGGATTCAGGCTGGAAAAGAAGCTTTTATTCCTTCGCGTTGGTTTCAAGTCAAGCCTCATTCTACTCGATGGTTTTCTCCTTCTTGTGAAGGAGAAAACCATGGAGTAGAATCCAATCGTAATCTTTTTTTAATTCTTTTTCAAAAGAGCAACTCTCTTGAGAACAAATGGCTATTTATTATTGCAAGAAATCGATGTAAAAAGGTGATTTCTGATGCTAAACTCCATTATTCTCAGTTCACTAAATCTCGCATCTTATCACAGAAGTTAGGCTCTAAAGACTTTTGGAAAATCTTCAACAGCATTATTAACAAGGGTAGATCTAACATTCCATCTCTCATTCATGGTACTGATCTTATTACCTCTCCCAAGGAAAAGGCAGAACTATTTGCAGTGAACTTTTCTTTTAATTCCACTCTTGAATCTTATGGAGATTTTCTTCTTTCCATTCCAGTCAATTAGGTTGACCCATTGTCAAATCACTCCGGCTTCTGTTGCAAAAGTCATATCTCAATTAAACTCGTCTACAGCTTGTGGTCCAGACAACATTCCTGTCACAGTCTTGCAGAATTGTTCTCCAGAACTTTTTTCAATTCTCTCTAAACTATTTAACAAGTGTTTGACTGAGTCTTGTTTTCCTGCTTGTTGGAAAATGGCGTCTGTGGTTCCAATATTCAAAAACTCTAGAGAAAATTCTGACCCCTCCAATTATCGTCCGATCAGTCTTCTTTCTGTTATTAGCAAGGTCTTTGAGTCTTTGATCAACAAATTCCTCACATCTCATCTTGAGTCAAATAAACAACTGTCAGACAATCAATACGGTTTTTGATCCTCTCGCTCTACGGTTGACTTGCTAACTGCTGTAACTGAAAGATTTTATCGTGCATTAGATGGAGGCGATGGGGCTAGGGCTATTGCTCTTGACATATCTAAAGCTTTCGACAATGTTTGGCATGCTGGTCTTCTCCATAAGTTTGCTTCATATGGTGTTTCTGGAAAAGTTTTTGAGATTATCAAATCATTTCTTTCTAACCGGTTTATTAAAGTCATCCTTGAAGGCCACCACTCTTCTTTATTTCCAGTAACTTCTGGGGTTCCCCAAGGTTCCATCCTGGGCTCTGTTTTGTTTCTTATCTACATAAACGATCTTCCTGACAACCTTTCATCTAAAGTAGCTCTTTTTGCTGATGACTCAACTTTATACTCCTGTCTTGACAAAAAGTCTTCTCTTTTCGATCGCCTAGAACAAGCAGCTGATCTTGAATCTGATCTCACTTCAGTTATAGATTGGGGTTCACAGTGGCTTGTGAATTTCAATTCTAAAAAAACCCAATTGCTTACTGCAAAAACTACCGTAATATGGTCAACATTCCTATATTAATGAATGGCAATCCTCTTACTGAGTCGTCCTCTTTACGTCTTTTTGGATTATTGCTTACTACTGACCTTTCATGGAAACCATATATACAATCGATTGCTAAATTAGCTTCTGCTAAGGTTGCTTCTCTTTATTGTGCTCGCCATTTCCTTACTTCTGATTCCATTCTCTACCTCTACAAATCTCTTATTCGTCCCTGTATGGAATACTTTTGTCATATTTGGGCTGGTTCTTCTAAGGATTCACTTTCTCTTCTTGACAAGGTCCAAAAATGCATTGTAAATGTTGTTGGACCTGGGCTATCTGCTAAGCTTGAACCTCTTTCCCATCGTCGTAAAGTTGCATCTCTTTCTCTTTTCTACAGATACTATCATGGTCACTGCTCAAAGGAGTTATCATCTCTAGTTCCATCAACTAAAATTCATTCTCGTTTTACTCGTCATTCAGCTAAGTCTCATTCGTTTACTGTATCTGTCCCTGCATGCTCTAAAAACTTTTATTCATCTAGTTTTTTTCCCCGCACTTCAATCCTTTGGAACTCTCTCCCATCTTCATGTTTTCCTGACTCATACAACCTTCAACTTTTCAAGTCTTCTGTCAACAGTTTCCTTGCTCTATAACTCTGTTCTTTTTTTTTCCTAGTAACTCCCAACTTAATAGTGGTTGCTTGCAGCCTTGTTGGGAGTGAATGCAAATAAAAAAAAAAATAAAAAAAAAAAAAAATCTTTAGATTATTGCAATTTTATCTTTAGAATATAGCAGTATTAGTTTTAAAGGATTAGAAAAGTGAGATTTCAAAATCTTGGCCAAGTCCTAAAAGCCAAAAATGGAAAAACAGATAATTCTAAGAAAGTAATAAAACCATTTTAAGAACTTGGCTCATTCTTAAAAAATATGTTCTTTAATACAACTGTTCAATAACTCATCAAAGTCATTCTTCTTTTCAAATTATTTATTATCATTGATGACTTTAATTGTAATTAAAGATCACTTTAAATCTTACTTTTTCATCTAAACCATCTAGTTTTAAAAAATTGATTTTTTTTTTAACACCATTTTGCAAAATAACATGGTATATTACTATCAGCAAACTTAAACCTATACACATTGAAGTCATTGAGAATATTGTTCAAAAAAAAAAAAAAGAAATGTTAAAATCTAAAGAAAGTTTACTTTTATGTAGAGTAGTAACCATCACTTTGGTTTTTTTGTTTTACAGATCTTGTACAGCTTGTTATTGATTTACCCTTTATTTTAATAGTAGTATTAAATGTAGTATTACTATCAAAATTAAGGTGGTGAAAGTTCTAATAAACCCATGTAAAGTTTTGAAAGAATCTGGGTACAATTGTGAACTATCATACGTTATTTATTATGTGGTAGTTTTATATTCAAATATAAAACCACCACATAACTATCATTAACATTGGTATGCAATGCAACTTTGAAGTGTATACACACATACAAATTACTCCTATCCTCATTCAATACCAAAGATTAAACCTAAATTATTTTTCATACTTTGTTTGCATGGATTTATAAGAACTCATGCTTCCATTATTCATTTTGCTAATTCATTAATCATTAAGCAAGAAACTTAAAGTTCGGTAATATATATATGTAAATGTATACATATATATTACAAATATATATATATATATATATATTACATGTATATATATATATATATATATATATGTATATATATATATATATATATATATATATATATATATATATATATATATATATATATATATATATATATATATATATATATATATATATATATATATATATATATATATATATATATATATATATATATATATATATATATATATATGAGTGGGTCAGAAGCCAAGGGATACAAGTGACAAAATTTTACCAAAATTAAGTATAGAATTTGATAGAAGAAGCAAACAAAATTGTTGGTGGCCAATAGATACAAGTGAATCTCTACCCTGTGCTGCTTTCTACTGGAAAAACATAACAACAGCTGAGTATATTTAACAAAAATACTTTAACTTTAAACAGCTGTATCTCAAAACTATGAAAATGTCACTTGTACCCCTTGGCTTCTGACCCACTCGTATATATATATATATATATATATATATATATATATATATATATATATATATATATATATATATATATATATATATATATATATATATCATATATATATATATATATATATATATATATATATATATATATATATATATATATATATATATATATATATATATATATATATATATATATATATATATATATATATATATAAGATTTAATAATGTTATTTGTTCTTACAATCTTTTCTATGCTTAAAATAACTTTTTTTAATTTTTAGAGTACTTTGTTGAAAGTACCCCATCATCATTAGTTAAAGAAAAAATTATTGCACAGATACCAAAACTTGATAAAGAGTATTTTTTTTCAATTGATATTTGTCCTAATAACTTTGAGTTTGTATGGCAAAATGTAATAAGTTTTGCTATTGGTACTGATAATTTAAATAAAAAATACTGGTATAGAATTCATTACATATTTTTTCATAAAGATGGTGATGGAAAACTTCAAATTGGAATTCCAACTAATGGCAAGCTTAATTGGGTTTACAACACAAGACCTGTTAAATTACATGTATGTTCGAACGTAATAGTTAGCCAAATGTTTAATGGCTCAGTATATATGTTCAGAATCAATGTGAATGGTGAAGTCATTTTTTCTGAAATAAACAACCAATCTCAAAGTTTTAGTAACGTCACTGTATTTGCATCAGATCCAGCATTTGATGCTGCAAATTGTTTAATCAAAAACTTTTTTCTTATTAATGGCATCTCAAGTAAGTTTTTATGTTGAATAAAAAGTTTTTACTAAAAATATAAAAAATTTTTAAACTTTTTATTTTGGTAGTTTCTAACCATCAATATGAAATAAAATGAAATATGTTATAACATATAACCAGAATATATGTTTAATAGATATTCAAGATTATTTATTTTACATGTTTTAATTTTTAAGTATTTTATCATAGTTTTAATTAGTTTTTTAATTTATTTTGTTAGAAAGTGAAATGCGACCCATTGCTCTTCTTCCAGCAGGTATTAAAATATACTTTTTTTTTTAATAGAAATTTTTTATTTCAAAAGTAAAATTGGGGGCCTTGTAGAAAGAAGTTGTAAGGTAACTAAGTTGATGAATGTTGTTGTTATACCTTTCTTTCTGCCCTTTAACATTAAAACTGAACAAATCAATCTCTGCAGCTTAGAAAAAGAAGTTAAACATGAAACTACCTAGGACAAGGTTAAGATAAAACTTGAAACTTTTCTATTACAAAGTAAATGCATTAATTATCAATTACTGCATTAAGTATCAATTATCAAATTATCAACAACCACTGCATTAATTATCAATTGTTTCGTCATCTAAATTTTTATAAAAATAGTCAAACTGTAATTTGTAAAACATTGTAAAAAAAATTCAACTAATGAGGTCCAGCTTTGCATGTACTTTTTTATAGGCTTTTTTTTTTTTGTTGATGGAGATAATAACTCTTTTGAGCAGCAATCATGATAGTATTTATCGAAAAGAGAAAGAGATGCAACTTAAGGTGGAAGAGAGGTTCAAGTTTGACAGATAGAGTAGGCTATCAATGTTTACAATGTGTTTTTGGACCTTGTCTAAAAAAAAAGTTGCATCATTAGAAGAACCAGCCCAAATATGACAACAGTATTCCATACAGGGACAAATAAGGGATTTGTAGATGTAGAGAATAAAATCTGGCATAAAATAATTGTGAGTTCAATAAAGAAAAGCAGCCTTAGCAGATGCAACTTAGCAATCTAATATTTATATGGTTTCCATGAGAGGTCAGTATTGAAATATAATCCAAGAAGACATAAAAAGGAGAACTGAGTAAGAGGTCTCTCATGCATCAATGTAGGAATGTTTAACCCTAACCCTAACTCAGTTATTTACTTCAAAAGTATTTTTTTGCTGTAAATAACTAAGTATTGTTGGAGTTAAAGTTCAAAAGCTACTACTAGCCCCAATCTTTTACAGAATTGAGATCAGATTCAAGATTGGCTGCTTGTTCTAAGCAATCAAAATGAGAAGACTTTTTGTCAAGACAGTAATATAAAGTTAAGTCTTCAAAAAATAGGTCTGCTTTAAATATATTGTTTGTCAAGATCATTAATGTAGATAAGAAATAAAATAGAACCAAGGATAATATTTTTGATATTTGCATAAAAATACTCAATTATACAATAAATGCTAGTTATAAAATACAAAAAAATACTAACTATACAATAAATTTAAAAATTATTGCTTATAAAAGCTAAAGCTAATTCTGTTTAGATTTTAAAACAGGAAGAAGTTCTCTGTGAGCAATTGTTGTTGCTATAAACCAATCCTGTATTTTTTGTCCTTAAACTACATTAGGAATTCTAGTAACTTCTTTCACAATTTTTCCAATTGACAATATATGTACAGGACATTCTGGAACCTCTATTAGGACTTTTAAAAATTTAATAAACTCTTCTATATCTGTATGCAAATATAGTACTCAAATCAATTAGTACGATAATAGTTTCAGTATCTACGTTTATTTTTGGTCTTTTCCATCATCTAACAGCAATACCTTCTAGATAGTTTAATTTCTTGTTGAAAGTATAGTCTTTACAATCTTTAACTTTGCTTCAATGTAGTTTTTGTAAAATGGATTCACTGTAAGTCAAAACTGTTTGTTGAGTTTTTTAGGTTATTATTCATACAAGTTCCAGCTGTTTTATAATATGGTACGGTCCATTGGTCTATTTATGTTTAACCTAAACATTTTTTTGTTAATGCATTTTCTACATCAACAAAAAAATTTAATCAAACTTAACATAAAAATTTCTCAACATAATTTTATACCATAATACAGAATATACACCAAGACAGAGCTGTACAAGATGTTTTAAATAAACACCAGATTCAGCAAAGTCAACTTGCCAAATTTAACCAGCATTCGTGATGCAAATAATGGTTCTCTTGAACATGACTGTGGTGAAATTTCATTATATGGGATATCAAATATATTAAATATTCAATGACTTTTTAGAAACTTGTCTGCTTATGTACTCAGAATTATCTTTATCAAGTAAAATCTTCATTGTATACTCAACATTAATATTTGGTACTTTGGTTCTCATCTTCATTGTCAGTATACTAACAGGGTGTTAACTAGGAATAAGTTTGAAACAGCGTTTTGACGAAATTGGGAATTTGTCAAAAAATTTCCCAAATATACCACCCCTTCCCACTCCTGTGAGATTAAAATGTGTACCGGGAATGTGTGGGGTTCTTTTCTTATATTCTTTCTTCTTCTACTCCACTTTAACACTGCATACGCTGATTGGACAGCGCCAAAAATAAAACAAATTGCTGTCTAAAACATTATTGAAGATGAATATGAGATCAACACTTTTATAGTATATAAATTTTTAAAGTAATATAGGGATCTTTTACTTTTAATTATTATCTAAATTCTGTTTGACATCTTTTAAAGATGAACCCTTACACCATCATCTAATAAATTGTGTCATCAAAAGAAATGTTTTAAAAATAGAAAAATCAAAAAGGTTTTGAAAACAGTAAACACAAGCTCGTAAATTTCATATTTCACATTTATTGCGAGTTCAATTTTATAATTAATATTAACTTTCTTTACACACAAACCACATAGCGAAATAAAGTTACAATTACAAATTCTCAGCAAAAACAACAATAAATGTTGTTTAATTACAAAATAATTACAAAAGATTGCAAGCAATTGCACGCTATTGTGGCAATGCTCTGTCGAAAATAGTACAACAAAAACATACCATAAACGTTTTTTTCTCAAATTTCAATTTCACTGCAGAAATTATATTTTAATTTTCTTTAATAGTTTATTAGTTAATCTTTACTATAGTGTAGAGATTTCAGCAAATTTTATGTAAAAAGATTTTTTTTTTTTTGAACCCCTTCATATAAACCTTCAATTGAAACTCATTTGCTTCATCACTTTAAAAGTTATTTTCTATAAAACCTATTAAGAATAAGTATAAAGTGTTTTACATTTTTGAAAGCATTGTGTTATAGAGATTTTAGAACAAATTCGTATTTTTAATTTTATGGTTTTGTTTACTAATAATTAAACTATAAAATGAGCTAGAAAATAAAAAATCACCAATAAAAAGTTCACCAATATTTTTAGTAGTCACCCATGCTTCCCCATGCTTCATTTTTGTAATTGATTTGTAGCTTAGGTGTCTATAAAATTGATGTATTAAAAATCATCTGCGGATACATGTGGTTTCCAAAATTATAGATAAAAAAGTGTTAATAGTCAGAAAACAGAAAACCGCTTTTTATCGTGGTTTCAGAATATTTCTGTTAATAACAATAGTTTTGTGTAAGTTATTTTGTCAATTTTTTATTGAGAATTTTTTATTAATTTTGATGGACATGTATTCTATTATTGGTATTAGTATTGGTAATTGTAGATGAAATAAAAGCCAAAATATATTCTTTATGGCCATCTATAATTAATCTATGTTGTTAAGGAATACTAGTGAAACATGAACTTTTTTTAACAAAGATGGATAGAAAAGTTTCTCAGATATTAACAAATATGTCTTCTGCATCTTCATGTACAATATGTGGAGCTACTCCACAAAAAAATGAAGGATTTGATTAAAGTGTCTGCTAGGCCAAAAAATGAAAGTTCGTATCAATAGGGACTGTCTACATTTCATGCCTGGATTCAGTATATGGAAATGATATTAAATATTTTCTGCAACCTGTCTTTCTAAAGATGGTCAGCTAAAAGTGAAGAAAAAAATGACAAAAAAAAAAAAAAAAGAAGATCTTGGGACAGAAATGTTTTTGTGAGCAGCTAGGGTTAATCGTCAATAAACCGAAAGTAAGTGGTAATACCAATGATGGTAATACTGCTAGGAGATTTTTTAACAATGTAAGTTGCTCTTCTGAAATTACTGGAGTAAATAAAAATTTGATTAAGCGACTTTACATAGTTCTACAAGCTCTCTTCTCAAGTGTTATGATAAATGCTGAAAGATTTGGTACATATGCTACAGAAACTGCCCACATTTAAATGAGTAATTATACCTTGCACTATATGCCATCTTCAGTACACAAAATTTTATTTCACCGAGAAAATGTCATAAAACATTTTACAGTGCTGCCTATTGGTCAACTTTCAGAAAATGCACAAGAATCCCATATTAAAGATTATAAAACATTTTGTCTTCATCATGCCAGGAAACATTCTAGATTAGCAACAAATAAGGACGTATTTCATACTCTTCTATACATTTCTGATCTCTACGTCACTAGCATTAGAAAAATGTACTGCAAAAATGTCCAAGAACTTGATGAAGATACTTTGCAGCTTTTAAAAGTCAACATATTTTATTCAATAAAAACTCACTGTTTAAAAATTGTTATTAAAAAACTATTCTGAATATTTCAATAATAAGCATTTTACAAACTCTTGAAAATATTAATGTCAATGTTAAAACATATGCAAATTAATTAATTACATGCAACAGTTAAAAAATCAAACTAATAAAGCAGTTAAGCCTAATATAAGGAAAATGTTTGTTAAAAAGTTTAAAAAGTGTGTGTTTGTTTTTAGTCTAGAGTTTAACCAAAAGCTCGTATAAATGTTTTTTTAAAAATAAATTTAGTATGAATATATTTTCCAATTAAATAAGCATTTTATATGTTTTTTGCTGTTTTGAATACTTTCAAAAAATTTTTATTAAATTAAAAAGAACATGTTTAGTTAAAAATAAAATAAAAAATAAACATTTTGAGTTTTTTAATTTTTTATTTATAAATTTTATGTTTAAATTTTTTTAAATGAAATATATTTATTTAGAAGCGTCATATACTACTTTACATTTATGCAAAATTTTAACACTTAATCTTTAGTAACCAAAAAGTTTTTTTGATTTTTGATCAAAAACAGACACAGTGCAACAAAGAGTACCAATAAATAATCTTTCATGCATAGTCATAAAATGTTGATATAATTATGGTTCATTGAAAC